AAGGAGAAAAAAATAATTATTCTGGCAGAGGCAACCCCTATTAAGATTTTGTCATATTTTGTTTTAATCATTAATACAAAGCCCATCTCATGGAGGCATTAATGTGGAAAACAAGTGTGTCCAGAGAGCCAGTCTAGTACTCCCCAAGTCTTAAGATCTTCTTCTGTCTCCTCTAGTGGCATCCTGGATTGGTGTGGAAGAGCTCCTTCCTCTGCAAGTCTTTTTGCTGGGCAAGGTTCACGTCAGTGCTGGATATTAAAACTGAATATGAGTTCTGTCAGCAATAAGAGGAAGAAAACTTAAAATACCGAGGGAGAGAGAGGCAAGGACATAGAGGTAGCTACTAGAGTTGATGGGAAAAAGACTTTCTACATGGTATGATGGAAGGAAACTATGCTACTGCCCAAGCTAACCCACTGCCTGTCAGCCTGACTTCAGGGTTCCCTGGACTCAGCAGCAGAGTATGGTGCAAACAGTATGGGGCCCGGAATCACATATCTGGGTTTGAGCTCTGGCTGTTTCCCTTTCTACAAAGGGAATGATCACTTGGTCAGAATGATCTCCAGGCTCTATTTTAGTTCTAAAATCACATCTTTATAGTACTTTTCACTGTGGGAGGCATATGGCTTCATCTTTAATAATAATAAAATGATACTCAGAGAGTTAATACTTTAAGCTCCATAGATAAGAGTCAGAGAGTCTGACCACGGGTTTTTATAGAGGGCAGGAGTGCACTGGAATATCTGAAGGGGTGGATGAGTAGGATTGATTGGGAGAGGAGTGAAGATAAAGCAATGAGAAGTTTGAGAAACATTTCATCAATGTTAATTTTTTAAGGATGATTATGTAGTGTTACTGGAAGGACTCTTACCATTGCCTCCCCAGTGCCTGGCACAAAGTAAGCCCTCAATAGATACTGAAATGAATGAATGGGGCAGGTTGGAGAGGAGGAAAGGAAGGGCACCAATCTCGACAAAGAAAAGAGCAGAGGCCCCTTGTAACAAGGCACTGAGCTAAGGAGAAAGTGCAGAGCCCTGTGAATTACCATGGTCACCCACCCTCATGTCATATGGACCCAAAAGTGCCCTCCCTCCTCTTAGCCTCACTGGTAATAATTCCAAAGCAATGGGGAAGCTCTTTAAAGTGTGTCTTCAAGTAAGCACCTTGCTCTAGGTCCTGATTCAGAGTCTACTTAAGAAACATTCTTCAAAACACCCAGAAAACTGCCCAAAGGAACATCTAGTTGCTTTGAGCCAGCCGAGAAGATTCAAGCATTCTCAGCGGCAGCCTTTCCTTCCCAGCAGAGATAATGACCATTCCTCCACTTCGGTGTTTTCATGGTTAACCTGAGAAAACCTCTGATAATGACTATGGAAACTACTGGGAAGTCTTCTCTCTAAAGCAGACCAGACTGGCTCAGACAGCACGTTTGTTTCAGTTCCACTGGGCTCTGCTGCTAAGAAAGCATCGCCCACGGCCATCTGGGTGCTCCCAGACTCCTCGCAGTGCAGATCCTCCATTTGAGTTGGTGTCTCACTGAATTTGTGGTGCTTCAAAAGTGCAGCTATTTTAATTGCATACAAAATGTTTAAAGGGCATAAATACACTGCAGCATTTGGAATCCTGATCGAGGACCAATAGAGAGGTTAGGCAGTGAGTTTACTGCATACCAGGCTCTGCGCTAAGCACTTTGCAAAAATTAACTCACTCTCATAACAACCGTAGGATCTAGGTACTCTAAGTACATTATTCTCCCAGCCCCCATTCTTACAGATGATTATCATCACCCTCATTTCACACATAAGAAATGTGAGGCACAAAGAGGCTAAGTGACCTCTGACGTCCTCCAGCTGCTAAGGGGTAACACCAGGCTTTGCACCCAGGCAGTCTGGTGCGCAGATCACCCTCTTAGCCATGACATCTCACTGCCTCTCTACATGCATATCCTTGTGAAACTGAAATGAAGACATGCTGCCTGACTGGGAACACACAGGCACCTTAGTTTGGGGGCTTCTGTTAATGGGTTTTGTACTCCCACGGTGCTGAGCAACCAGGAGGTGCTTCACAGCATGTATAGATTGATGACAATTTTCCCCAAATGCATGCAAATATCCCGCCTCCATTGAGCCTTAGTCACGGTGACACTTATGGGATGCCCAGGGGAATCATTACTAAAAAACTCATGGGTATAAACAGAAACCAGTTAATGCTGAGAGATTTTGTCATCATTGGCCATCAACTATTTTTTAATTATTTTTTTCCTGATTTCAAAAGTAATACACAGTCATCAGAAAAATTCAAACCTTACTGAAATATATAAACTAGTCAAACATTTAAGTTAATCATATATAACATTAGGACAGTATCTAAAATAAAATAATTGAGAGAGGGTCCCAGGATTTGACTTGCTTTGTAAGGACTTAACTATAAAAAAAACTCTCCCTTTTTTTAAGGGCTAGCTTGGGAGGCAGGGGTTCATAGAGTAATTTTTAAGTTGTCTATAAATGTCTCTTTAGAAGATAAGTCTATTGAGACATGTATAAGAAGGTGAGATAAGTTCATTGCTTTTTTTTTTTAGTTCATTGCTTTTTTAGGAGCTAACTGAACTTATATAAATGCTCAGATAGGTCCCTCAGAGCAGCTTTAATGTTAGGCTAGAATGGGAACTACTTGGATCTAAAATATATGTGTAATCCCAACTATTTGCTTTTGAAAATTAAGAGTGAGGGTCGGGCCTCTGTCTTCAGGATCTTATCTTTCTTCCATAGCCATGGTTGCTCCTCAAATCATGTGCCATGGAAGGATCCCACTAGCTCGAGAGCTTTCTGGTCCTGCTACAACTGACATGGCGAAGAGGGCATGGGGTGGCTCAGTGAAGACCTTGGGAAACTTCTGGCTTTACCGCTTACTAAAGTGGGAGCTCCTTAAACTCAGAGTGTGTCATCATGCTCTTATTTGTCAACAGGGGTAGTGCTACTGTTCCGTCTCTTTCTTAAGGCCATCAGGAAACTATATGAGGTCAAGAATATGAAAAAGCTTTGTAAACTCTTCCTGCAGCATGTGCAGGTTAGAGGGCGAGGCGATGGTTCCTCACTGCTCGAATATCTGCCTTTGGGAAGAATTAGGCTGAGGTGGAGAAAAGTGCACTCTGAAACCTAAAATCTTAAAAAAGGAAGTTAATGGCTCAAACAAATGTCAGATTTATTTATAAGTGGTAATTAATGGAAAATGAACTTGATGTACTGAGCAGTCAGAGGAACATTTGGGTTTCAAATCCTCTCTACCCATCATCTCTCCTTGAAAGGAAAAAATGGAAGAAAAGAAAAGAAGGAAGAGAGAAAGGAAGGAGAGAGGGGAGGAAGGAGAGAATAAGAAAAGAAATAAATAACTCGGGGGCAAAGGCACCAGAGAGAACATATTTGTTTGTCCAATTCCTCTTGTTAGACTGAGCTCCTCCAGGTGGGAATTGGATTTTATTCATCTTTGTGTGGCACATCCTAGAGACTATTTAGGATGAATCATATGGCATTGCCATTTTTATAGACAAAAACAGTCTAATATTGGCAATGCCATATGAGTCAACCCCCAGTGTTAGATAAAGATACAAGAGATCTAAGGGTTATATTCACTCAGTCAGTTTTAACCTGTTCCCATAAATACCTCTTTCCCATATCCAGGACCTGGCCAGAGAGGTGGGATTTCCCTTGCACTGTCTGTTCGACCCTTAAGATTCATGCCTCTCTTTTAAGGCTGCCTTTGGTGTTCTCTTGAACTTAACAATGTCTAAATATTAAGTACATGCTGTACTAATGTCCCTTTCTTATGGTCTTCATACCTCTACAGAAGAGGCATCATTATGAGTCAAATTTAAATTTCCATTTCAGTTGATAGATATAATAGGCTCTAGTCAAACAAATAGATGTTCTTCACTATGGTGTGTACAGATTTTTTTCTTTACTCCTTTCCTCCCTCTTATTCCCTCCCTTCTTTATCCTCCCCCTCCTCTCCCTCTTTTTCTTCCTTTCCCTCCCGTCCTTCTTTATTCCCAGCTCTGCTCTAGGCCCAGGTGCAGCAGGGAACAAAGCAGACACAATGCCTGCCCTTTGAGCCTACATCCTAGTGTGTCCACTAGGACTACATCCTAGTGTGTCCACTAGGATGTAAAGCATAATGGCCAATATAATAGTAGTCACTTATAAATGTTAATGTCTTTTCTTCCCATGACCTTCTAGTGTATGTGAGTGTGTGTGTGTGTGTGTGTGTGTGTGTGTGTGTAAGGGGGCAGGGAGGCCAGGAGAAACAAGTTATTTGGTTCATGTTGGTCAGGATTTCTCCATCTCAGCTCAGCACAATGCCATTTTAGGCTGTAGAATCTTTTGTTGTGGGGGCTGTTCTGTGCACTGTAGGATATTTAGAAGTATCGCCGCCTCCATCTACTAGATGCAGTTACACCCTCCAGGCTTGACAACCAAACATGTCCAAACATGTCTCTAGCTATTGCTGAATGTTCCCTAGGAAGCAAAATTGCTTCCTGTTAAGAACAACAGCTTCTAATCACCCATTGAATAATTAAATATTTTAATTTATAAACATGTTGTCAGGTACTGTGTACACTTTGCCTGTGGTTATATGTTTAAATATATATAAAGTCAGGGCATATACAGAAAAAGAAATCAGCAAAATATCAAATTAAGCTATACAATCAACCCATAATTATCCATGAAGTGAATAATGATTTAGATAATAAGAAAGTTATTTTAGTCACACAATTGCCCTGCATTAGATTGTTTTCCTAAATATGGTTGGTTTAGACTCATCATATTAATAGCAGTCAATTTCCTGGACACACACTGGCTAATACAAGTGTGCATGAAGAGATACAAATGTGCATGGAGAGAAATTGTTTGGGTTTCTTAAATGTTCGTGGATACCCACAAAGTGCTCACTTTAACCACAGGTTATTAGCAAACTTAAGAAGTAATAGCAACTTTCATACTTACAGGTGAATTAATGACTTTAGTCCCCGGAAAGTATGTCTTGAAATGGACTTGATGTTGTTGTTTTCTATGAATCTGCAATAGGTTATAACATTTTTGTCAGACAGCTGTAAAAATCTGAGAGCACTTGTCCTGAATCATTATGTTAAAAAATGTTGTTGTTGTTTTTACTTACAAATACTCTAAATGTGGAAGACCAATAAAAGCATCATCACTGATCACATCAAAGGAGTTCGATGTGAATAACCTGCCCAGAAAAAGTACACAATGAAAATGGTTAAACTGACAGATTGTCAATTTATGCTGCTTTATCTCTCAAAGAAACGAGTGGGAGTTGTGTACAGAAAAATGTCTTATGTCTGCCTTCTAAAGTGTTATTTATTTAGGTATTTTTTGTAGCTTTTTAAAAAAATCCCCAGTTATCTCCTCACCAAATGCTCATCCAGGAAGGCGGGCTTTGTGGCCCACTCCTCACAGTGATGGATGTCACATGCACTTGGTAACTTTTTGAGATACAATTTGGGCACTATGACAGCCAAATCAACATTTTATGCATTTTCATAAAAAAAAAAAACACTAGGAATTTTTCCTTTGCCCTAAAAACTTCTGGAACATTCTGACCAGCCCAAACAATGGTGCTTCTGGGTTTTAAGCCGCTATGATATCTCTTAGATGAGCCATTGACACTGGCTCAATGAACATAAACTAACCTCCTTCTATGAAAATAGAACAGGAATTTCAGAGGGAAGGTGGGGGTGGGGGTGGGAGATTAACTGGGGAATGTATATGCATATATGCATAGCCCATGGACACAGACAATAGTATGGTGAAGGCTTGGGAAAAGTGAATGCAGGGAAGAGGGGCTCAATGGGGAAAAAGAAACAAAAAAAACCCCAAAGGGGACATTTGCAATACTTTCAACAATATAAATTTAAAAAATTAATAAATAAACTTAAAAAATAGAACAGGCTGAAGGTGTGAAATAATGAGGTGTAGGAAGAGTCTTAGATCCAGTTTATTACTAAATAGTTGAAAAGAACACTAACTTGAACAAATTTATTTGCAATTTCAAAATCCACAGGGATTTGGTTTCAAAATTACCAATGAAAGGGAACATGAACCAGCAGTCCTCACACCCTGTCGAACTCTTTGGAAAACTTGCCAATTTTCTGAATGGGAGGCTTAAAAGAGGTGATCATAGGCTAAACAACACGAAGCGGGTTTTTGATTTTTAGATGAGCATTAATTTCTGGAAATCATTAGATAAAGTATTGATACAAATGAACAATAAGGTTTTAAATGTACTGATGACAAATTTATAATGGGTTCAAATGACATTCGGTTTACATGTTAAGTTTCTTGTGCAGGGGAATCTCATATTCCACCTGTAACTATTGTCCAAAATGTGACCATGATCATGGAACAGACCAGATGTTAGACATGATTTGACAATTCACATCTCATATATACTGTTTAATTGTACTATTAAAAGTTCAATATTCTCTGTTATTATACTTTTGACCTTTACTTTTGTAGTCTAGCGATTAAAAATAACACACACTAACTAGTTTAGTGACTTCATCTCTCTGAGCCTGTTAACTAATGAGATTAAAAGGAGGAGACCTCACTTTCTGAACATTTATGAATAACCTATTTGATATCTGGAATTGCTTCAAAATAATCAGGGGAGGAGACAACAGTGGCTTAGAGGTGAATTGAGCATGAGGTGATAATTTTTGAAACTGAAAAATGGGTACACGGAAGTGGACTTTACTGTCTCTACTTTTTATATGCTTATATGCTTGAAATTTTTCATAAAAATGGGGGGAAACATGAACCAAGCAAACGAAACTAGATGATCTCTTGCACTTCTTCCTAAATTATCAATCCTGGAGTGATGTTGTATTCTCTTTTACCTTCCTCCCTCCTGTGTCATAGCTTTATACTCAAGTAATTCACCACTGAAAAGTCAACACTGATGAATAGTCATACATTTTAGATGCCCTTAGTTATTAAAACAAATTCAAGTGTGTATGATTTTAGTCACAACTTCGGCAATTGCCTCCTCTTACTTCATGGTTCTGTAAAACAAGATTACGTGCCCTTACTCCAAGATAAGCTAACATCCAAAGACTTCCTGAGGCTCCAGATTTTCATTTCATTCTGTACAGACAGCATCAGGGATGGAGAGAATGGAATAAGACAGAAATAGATACAGAGAAATACTTCCCATGCTCACTGGTTTGCCAACTGTCCCGTGGGTGGACCAGCAACTTCATAATCATGCACTTCAAGTCACCAGAAGAAATAGCTTCTCTCACTAGTTCCCCTTATGTTGAATCAGATGTAAAACAGAGTGGGAAATGTATATTAGTGGGCAGAACCTGCCCACGCATGTCAGGGAAATAAAACATAGGTATTTCCACTGGAATTTTTATCTGTTTGTTCATTGCTTATCCCTAGCATCTATAATACTACATGTGCCATAATGGACACTGAATAAATATTTGTTAAACGAAGAGGAATTCATCTACATTAAATTCTGGGCATTACCACATTACTAGGTTGAATGTTCCTTAGAGCAAGGACTTATCCTTATTTGCTTTTGTGTCCCCAGCCCTGAGCATAGTTTCTGGCTGAATAATGTTCGTTGAACTAGATTTCAAGGATTAAACCTCTGGTTAAAACTTCAACTACATACAAAAATATGGATGACTTCCACAAATTTAAGTCCAGGGAAAGAAAACCCAGCTCAATAAAGTATCTCCAATAGTATAGGACCTATAAGATAATATTTTTTTTTTTTATTTATTTATTTTTTTTTTTTTATTGCTTAAATTATTACAAAGAGTATTACCCTAGGAGGCAAGTAATAACTAGAAGGAGACACAAAGGGAGTCTTTGGCAATAGTTGTAATGTTTGGTTTCTGGGTGCTGGTTATAAGAATGTTCACTTTATTGAAAAATCATGGCAGGGGATGAGTTAAATAGGCAGAGCACAGAGGACTTTAGGGCAGTAAAAATACTCTGTATGACATCATAATGATGGATACATGTCATTATACATTTGTCCAAACCCATAGAATGTACAACACCAAGAGTGAACCACAATATAGACTATGGACTCTGGGCGATAATGTAGGTCCACCAATTGTAACAAATCTATCACTCTGCTGGGGGAAGTTGGTAATGGATGAGGCTATGCATGGGTCAGGGTAGGGGGTATATAGGAAATCTCTAAGCCTTCTCAATTTTTCTGTGAACCTAGCACTGCTCTAAAAATATGAAGTTTTAATTTTTTAAAGTTGAGATGTATACTTAGGGTATATGCACTTTTCTTTATTTTTAATATTTTTAATTGATTTCAGAGAGGAAGGGAGAGGGAGAGAGAGATAGAAACATTAATGATGAGAGAGAATCATTGATTGGCTGCCTCCTGCACACCCCACACTGGGGATCGAGTCTGTAACCCTGGCATCTAGCCTGACTGGGAATCGAACCATGACCTCCTGGCTCTTAGGTTGACACTCAACCACTGAGCCACACAGACCAGGCCTGCACTTTTATGTATATGATATTTCGATAAAAAGTTTTCTTATAAAAGTGAAAAATTTTCCCTTTGTCTGAGATAATAATGAATATCAGTCCTTCAATTCTAAATTCAGTTGTGGTTTTCTGTGGACAAGGATTCCATGGATAAGGATGTGTAAAATTATACATGCATTCTAAATCAGTTTAGTGGGCTATCCATTTAATTATCTTCTGTAAAGCTAAAAAGACTCTACAAGCGCATGTCCTATAAAGTGGATGAAACTCTGACCCTTAATATTTTATGGATTCTTCTGAATATGTTTGATTTCAATATTATGACTTGTTTTTGTATCAGATATGTTAAAGAATCCCACAGTTCCTATTAAGAAAAACTGTGCCCACTCCATCCCATCTGCACAAACAATAGACTTGGGGCAGCCCAGGTAGCTGTGTTTTATATCATACAACCTCTGTCTCTCTCCTCAGATTATTAGGGAAAAAAGGACTCAGTTTCTTACCCAGAGTAGCTAATTCTGAGGTTGGTCAGCATGGCATAGCCCAAGTAGCCTGGGTCAAAAAGATGAGTTGGACTAAAGATGAGTCCCTTCATGGGGTTTAGGAATCAGCAGAGATAGAGCCAGCTGGCAGAAGGGCTGAATAGAAAGGATGCCGTTGGGTTGAGTTAAATCCATGTCAGGCAGAAGTGTGTACAGGACACACTTAGGAGAGAGCACAATGTGGAGGAGATGTGTGTGCAAAAGGGAAGTGTGTGTGAAGGCTGGAGCAGGGAGCCCTCTAGATCTGTGTTCTAGTATTTCTCAATCTTGGTCACACTTGGAATGACCTGGTGAGCTTTAAAAATACTGGTACCTGTTCTCAACCTTAGGGATTCTGGTTATATTCTATGCCTGGGGAGCAGAGGACAGAGAATGAGGATCCAGCTACATCAGAAGGAGGTCAAAGCTAAAGCTGCCCATCATCCAGCTGAGAGGCCAGAGATGGGGGTCCACAGAAGTGAAAGTACTGGACAAGCACATGCGTGTCCTGATTGGTCACTGAATCACTTTCCTACCCTGCTTCTCACCTCTTCTAGGGACTAGGAAGGAGCACTCTGAAGAGGGAATTAGGTAGCCTTGGTTATAATTCCCACATGGCCATGAATCCTCTGAGTGGCCTTGAGCATATCACTCCTCCTCTCTATATCATCAAATCAAAGGTCTAGACTAGATAACTTTTTAGGTCACTTCTAACTTGAGAGATGCATGATTCTTTACTTGCAGCGTTGTGGGCTTCATTCCTGGAATAGGAGCTATGGGCTTTGCATGGGGAGTGGTAAGTCTACAGATGGCTGCATGGGAATGGTAACCCTGCTGATAAAATTTCTCGTTGTCTCAAATCAGACTGCTCAAATGGTCACGCCAGGGTCCCATGGCTCTACCGACACCCACTTCTTTAAATTCTGTCTAGTCATCTGTGACATCTTGATTACCATCAGAATTGTCATTGGCCCATGGGTGGGCTGTATCCTGTCTCCCAACCCAAAGCAGATTCTCCTGTCTAAGAAGGGGAGATAATTTAGGGGGCTGTCCCATACAATATCCTCTCCCCTACCACCTCAGTGAGGACCATTCTGGATGAAGAAGAGAGGAGTGAGCACCAGGCTGTCACTGAAGACCGCATTGATTAGATATAGAATAAAGAATCTAGTTTCTAAGC